AGAGGCTAGCAGGGGCAAGCCCCCAAAAGTCCTTACAAGATCAAGGCTTAGAGGACAATTGGCCATTTCCCAATTTAAGTCACACCCCATCTCAGATCTCTGGGGGAAACATACACAAATATCATCTTGCATGCAGGACTGCAGTCAACAGGGGAAGCATCATGCGGCAAATGATTAAACACCCCTCTCGCGGCTCCAATAGCATGTGAAATGTTTTAAAGGGGAAGGGGGAATCACATATGGTTTGGCCCTATGTTGAACCCTGACAGAAAAGCAAATTCCACTGAATATTTGGAGTGGAGAAAGATATTAGAGCAGAAACTTCTGCTGAGGTTTTGGAGAGTTCTGCAAGTTAAAGTGAACCATATTGGTCTAGATTCATCAATGACCTGATTCAATAAAAGGTTACATATGTAGAAAAGTAATTTGGTTTGTGGCCTTTTTCTCAAGGGAGATCACCATGCAAGCAGGGTGGTAGTGTTTGCTTTTTTTACACAGTCAATGCACACTTTTCGCCTACCTTTTGTTTCAGATGCAAACACATTCTCTAACCACATTATTTCTGCAGTGGGGCAAGCTTATTTTGCCCCTGACAATCAAGGCTGCAATAGTTTGTCACTAGGAAAAAGTTGCCTTCCTTCAGCAAACTCTGGCATGATCTTGTGATCTTTTATTTTGAATTGTCGTTAGTTGCTAAGCTTGTTTTCAAAGAAAATTATGTGCAGTTTATATGCTATTCTTTTCTCTTTTTTGCCAGACCGATGCAGGAACACTAATCTGGTATTGCATTTCTTTTAAATAAGCAAAACACCAGGAAGGCTTCCTCTCGCCTTTTCTCACAACCATCAATGCCCACCAGATGTGAAGAGCAGGAAGGAAAGTAATGATTCACAGAGGTGGTTCTCTGGCTGACTGTACTAGTGAAGTTCTATATAAGGCAAGAGAGCACCAGATACTGTAAATAAATGGGATTTTCAGGCTCTGGTTTGAAAGGTAGATATCGAAGCATATATCTTCTCCCGATTGAAGTGCAGAGCATTTGAGGACCGGGACATTCGCTGGGAAACCAAAATGCTTGTTTACAAAGATACTGTACTACCAACCTTACTGTGTGCTTGTGAAACATGGAGCACTTATAAACACCATCTCCAATTCCTCGAAAGATTCCATCAATGGTGTCGCTGAAAAAAATTACACATTACCTGGGAAGACAAGCGAACTAATACCAGGGTACTGGAAGAAGCAAAGATCACCAGTGTCGAAGCAATGATTCTTTAACATCAACTTTGTTGGACTGGTCATGTTGTTTATCGTCTTCCAAAGCAACTACTCTATTCCGAACTTAAAAATGGAAAGCGCAATGCTGGTGGTCAACCAAAGAGGTTTAAAGACTCTCTCAAGGCAAATCTAAAAAAATGTAGTATAAATTCCGACAACTGGGAAACACTGGCCTGCAAGCACTCCAGCTGGAGAACAGCCTTTACCAAAGATATCATGGACTTTGAAGACACTCGAGACACAAGATCTACCCACTCTGGAAGAATGGCAGATGAAGGTGATTCGAACTCAGGATAAAAGGGAGAAACGTGCTAAGAGGAAGACATGCTTGGCAAACCCTCACCATGATCAACTCCCACCTGGTAACCTATGTCCCCACTGTGGAAGGACGTGTGGATCCAGAATTGGCCTCCACAGTCACTTATGGACTCACTTTTAAAACCGTGTTTATGGAAGACAATCTTACTCAGCTACGAGTAATCGCCAAAGGATCCAAGCATACAGGAAGCTACATTCTCTCCATATTTCCCCTGCTTACAATCATAGGCATCCTTCAACACATTGCATGGAATGGGAATGTTGATCCCTGCACCATGTTGGAATTGCATATGCAAAACTTTAAGAATGCAGAGCGATTCAGGCACAGAACAGTGGCTTACTCATGCAACCCATGACAAAATCTTGCATGTGGCAGCTCTCCTACCCTACAGCAAACTGAGTGTGGGCATCCTCTATCGTCCTCATTCATCACAGGAAGGAGCCAGCTTTTGGGAATGCCACCACATAGGTTCAGAAGGAGATGAGCTGCTGGAAGGCAGGAGACGATTTCACAGTCTCTTTCCATGGCTACCAGGTTCCCATTTTTCAGAGGGCTAACCATGTTGGCCTTTTGCCACACGGCAAAATAAGCAGAGCGCTCTGTAGCATCGCAAAAGGCTAACAGAGTTTATTGGGGCATAAATGTTTGCAGGCTAAAGCCAACTTTAGCTCAGCGAACATGTAAAATGTGATCCTGTAAGATCACGTGCCCAATGTAGTGGTAAAGGGACCCCTGACCATTAGGTCCAGTCATCACTGACTCTGGGGTTGCGGCGCTCATCTCGCTTTATTGGACGAGGGAGCCGGCGTACAGCTTCCGGGTCATGTGGCCAGCATGACTAAGCCGCTTCTGGCGAACCAGAGCAGCGCAGGGAAACGCCGTTACCTTCCCGCCAGAGCGGTACCTATTTATCTACTTGTACTTTGACGTGCTTTCGAACTGCTAGGTTGGCAGGAGCAGGGACCGAGCAACGGAAGCTCACCCTGTCATGGGGATTTGAACTGCCGACCTTTGGATCGTCAAGTCCTAGGCTCTGTGCTTTGACCCACAGCGCCACCCGCATCCCTAATGCAGTGGTACCTTGGTTTTAAAACAGAATGCATTCCGGGAGGCCGCTCAACTCCCGGAACCATTCAAAAACCAAATCACAGCTTCTGATTGGCTGCAGGAGCATCCTGCAGCCCATCAGAAGCAGCAGAAGCCGCACCGGACATTCAGCTTCCAAAAATCATTTGAAAACCGGAACACTCACTTCCGGGTTTCAATCATTCAGGAGCCGATTTGTTCGGGAGCCAAGGTGTTCGGCTTCCAAGGTATGACTGTATATAAATGATGAGCAAGAGACTATGCACACAGCAACCTAAACTTCACTGTTGCCACAGGAATGGGCAGCCCCAGCAAGCAGGACCAATATAGCCAGGCATGGTAGGAGCCAATAGTCCAATAACATCCAAAGGGCCATAGATTCTGCTCCACTGTTTTATTGCTTTAAAAGCAAACACTTCCATTGACCACATTCCAAGTCAGTTGCTCGTAAATAAATTGCATGTATGTGTGGCCTGATTCAAACGTGCATGTTCACTCCAGGCTGACTCAACTTGCATGTGTGGATGAGCCATCCCAGATCCAAACCTGAGGCAGAGCTTTCCTGCCACGGCCCATCACCTGAAAAGCCACACCATACCTATCCACTGGGCTTTGGGATTGTTGAGAGCTGAGTAATCAAGTGTTCTTTACGCACTTGTGAACCATCCTCAAATCCATCCGTCAGCTCAGAAGCACAGAAGGTGCCTTGGAAAAGAAACGGAACTGCAGAAATTAGCACAAACTTCGAGCTCCGTGCAGGCATTTTTAAAGGCACAAACCTCGTCCTCCTTGATGGATTTCATGCGGAATTTGCAACCAGACTGACAACCTCCAGGGATTTAAAGCTGCTGCCAGCCATTTCCCCCCTCCTTGGCTGATGAAAAACCACGAAGTCTCTCCCTTGCTTTAGCTGCATACCAGCAAACCCACATCATAACTGGAGGCATCGCGGAAGGTTTTTTTTGTTTTTGGTTGTTGTTCCTTGTCAGACTTGATAAAAATCCAAGTCGCTGGATCTGATATCGTTACTTTCCCTGTGATGATCATTGCGGCGATAAAAGCAGGGGGAATCCCCGAGAGGGAGTTGGAATTCTTCCGTCTTCCTTTGGGGAGCCACACAAAAATACCTGGCAAGAGCAGAATGCAGAATTGCAGGCAGCCTGAGAAGCAGCCACGCAAAAAATCACAAAGGCTGCAATCCTGTGCATGCTTACCTGCGTGTAAGCCTCACTGAACTCCGTAGGGCTTACTTCTGATTAGACATATATAGACTTATGCTGTAACACATTTTCCACGCCAGTCTTACTTTTTGAAATATCATTTAACGAAATTTACTGTTAAGCAAGGGACACGGGTGGCTCTGTGGGTTAAACCACAGAGCCTAGGACTTGATGATCAGAAGGTCGGCGATTCAAATCCCCGCGATAGGGTGAGCTTCCGTTCCTTGGTCCCTGCTCCTGCCAACCTAGCAGTTCAAAAGCACGTCAAAGTGCAAGTAGATAAATAGGTACCGCTCCAGCGGGAAAGTAAACGGCGTTTCCGTGCGCTGCTCTGGTTCGCCAGAAGCTGCTTAGTCATGCTGACCACATGACCCGGAAGCTGTACGCCGGCTCCCTCGGCCAATAAAGCGAGATGAGCACCGCAACCCCAGTCGGTCACGACTGGACCTAATGGTCAGGGGTCCCTTTACCTTTACCTTACTGTTAAGCACACACTGCCATGGGCATGTCCCAGGCTAAGCGAAGGCCAAAGGGATTTCAGCGGGAAGGTTAAGGGTGTCCGTAAATCTGTCCCTCTGAAATCAAAGCAGCTTAGTCAGGATTGGACCCTATTCTACTAGCCTTTGTTGAAGTGTTGTCCTGAATGATCATGTCAGGTCCCTCCAAATCAGGGATGGGGAAGCTTTTTCAGGGCCACATTGCCTCTAGGCAAGCTCCAGGAGGCCATATGCCAAGGGTGAATGGGGCCAGAGGCAAATGTGGATGGGGCAGGAAATGTAAACTGGACTTTTGTACAGTAGAGTAACACACACAGAGAGATACTCTCACTCCTTGCATCCAGGCAAGCAAGAAGCTGCCATTTGCAGCAACTGCAACACAAAATCTTGGCAAGGTGATGGACCTACTGCTAGTGGCATGTTGCGCCCCTGATAAACTGTTTGGAGAATTTCACAACATCCTGAAGAAATTCAGCACAATATCTCCACCCCTTATTTGTGCCCACAAGTAATCCCTGAACCATTATTATTTTTTCAGTAAAATTGTGGCACTCCAGCATTCAGTGGCCAGGAATCAAGTGGTTGCAAGAGGGAAATTTTAGACCTTTTTTATTGAACCCTTTGTGAATATTTCCACACAACCCCACGCTTGGAAGGATGGGACAGATGCTAAATGTTAAACAAATAAAGTATGTTTAGAGGACTGTGTAGAACCGTGAGAAGAATTCACAGCGCATCCAAGGAGGAATGGTCTGCTCAGGGTTGACAATATTACTGTGATTCTGTCAGGAATAACTCAAAGGGGTTTCCATCTTTGCAGCATCCCCTGTTGTTGTTTCGTTAGCTGGACATGCGACAAGCTTGCTTGCTATTGTAGCCGTCAGGCTTGAGAGATGACTCAGTAGATGGGATCCTCTCTCTTTTTTTCTTAAAAGATTGACTGGGGATCAAAGCTGCCAACATTGATCTGGCAGCCGGGATGCCGTTGTTCATAGAGGGCAGCTAACCGCACCTGCCATTTGTTTCTAAGGAATGGCTTTAATTCCATGCCAGCCAGATTGTGTGCCATGCCCACCTCATGTCAAAGTCAGTTTGTAGATGTCATTTTGCAGGCTGGACGGCCATTTTTCTTCAACTGCCGAGATGCTGTGTCCATCTTACTGACATGCCTGCGAGTGCAGGCTTTCCGGCTCCCCGGAATCTCATGTTCTCATGTAATGGACAAAAGAACATTTTTCAAGAAAGCGCAAGGCATGTTTCTCCAGAAGTGATACATCAGGGCCCCAAAGTGAATGCCAACCACGAGATGCTTCTGTCCTAAGTGAGGCCAAGATTATGCTAGCGGATTTATCTTCCTTTGCATTCTTCCATGTGCACCATGTTGGTGCTAATGCAGGAGTTAGCGAGTAGCAGCCTCCTCTGCCAAATCATGCCACAACTGCTAAACCAGAACCAAAAGAGGAAGCGGCAATAGTAACAATAGGACTTGAGGATGGACCACCAGGTGGAAAGGTTGGAGATGTAGTAGGGATAATGCTTCTTTAAAACACATGTTTTTACAATGCCTTACACTTATTACGTCTTGGGAGAAAGCAGTGGATTATATAACTGTGGAGGGGGGGAGCTAAAGTTTTCAGAAGAAAATATTATTTAGAACTACATACCTACTTTATGGAATTTGACAACGGGACAATGTAAATGGATTCCTTGATACGGCCAAAAGACTGATACCGATGCACTGGAAAGGTAAGCGTACGGCTCCATTTAATCAATGAATTGAAGATACAACTACACTTGCAACTGATGAACGGATTGCTTATAGATGGAGACTTTGCATGGCCAAGCATAATGACATCTGGAACACATTTATTCAAAATATAGTAGGTTAAAAATAAACATATATGTATCTGGATAATAATAATACCTGTACATTAGATAAGCATATATGAAATTGTAATTAACTCTTATAATGATATAGTATACCGTTTCTCTTTTTGTCTCCCTCCTTTTTGATTTTATTTTGTACAGTTAAACCATTCTTTAAAAAATTAATAAAAACAGTAATAAAATCATAGGGCAAATCTTGGTTACTGCTTGTCACGAGTTTGAAGAGCACAGGTTCCTACAGCAAACTATGCTAAACTATGGCTTGGGCTCACTGCAGCACAGCTGCAAAACATCCAAGGATGCATGAAGCATCGGCAAGCCATGATTTGGCTTAGCATGATGTGTTAACCAGGTCATTATATTACGGGAGCACAGAAAAAAGCATAGACTGTTACACTGGGTGCACCATTTACCGTCTGGTTTTTGTAAACAACCTTCTCGGTCTTATGACTGCAAAGACATGGTTGGCAATGCTTGCTAAAATCTCAGGTCAGAGTTGGAGCTGAATGAAAATCCCACTGCTTTCAGAGAGGAGATCAATTCCCTGCAATGCTCAAATAAACCAACAAATTAGAACAGTTTACCTGTGAAAAGTGTGCATTAAGACTGGGAAAGAGGCAACTGAGATAGGATAGCCGTCTTCAAATATCCCAAGGGCCAATATGTTGAAGGGGGAACAAGCTTGTTTTCTCCTGCTCTGGAGGGCAGGACTCAAACCAATGGCTTCAAGTTACAAGAAAGGAGATTCCAACTAAACATCAGGAAGAACTGTCAGAAAGAGCTGTTTGACCATGGAACCGTCTTCCTTGGGAGACTGTGGACTCTGCTTCCTTGGAGGTCTATAAGCAGAGGTTGGATGGCCATCTGTCATGGATGCTTTAGCTGAGATTCCTGCATTGCGGGAGATTGGAGTAGATGACCCTTAGGGTCCCTTCCAATTCTACAATTCTATTATTCTATGGTTCCATGTCCAGCTTTAAAGGCTCCCCACTTCCCTAACTTCTGGAAAGCTGTGAAATATGTTCAAAACAAACAAATGTTGCAGAGCAACGGTCTTGCTTCCAAACCGCCTTGGTATAACCTAACAGTTCGATTCTCAAATGTAGCTTTTAGCCAAATGTAATCCAAATGAGCAATCAAGCCAAAAACAAGACCCAATATGTATTTCTGAGTTCAGTAATTTTTATTTTATATTACACCGTGGGGCACTTTATGGCAACGTGTTTACCAAATACTTTGTACCAACATTAGCAAAAACGGTCAATTTAAAGTGCATATAGAGGAGTTTGACATATGACAGGAGTTTGAGTTCCACAGTCTTTAAACTCTAGGGCAGTAGTCCCAACACTTTCAGGCCCAGGACCCATCCCTAATCCCAACCTAAAATGAGGGACTGGCTTTTAATCCCCTGCAACTGCTATATGTTCATAGGAAAGCAAGAAGCTTCCCCAAGTTGAATTAGGCCGCTGGTTCCGCTAGTGTGTTCTCCTGGGTTCCAAGAAAGGAGCCTTCCCAACCATCCCTGGAGATGGTCCTACCTTTGAGCCAGGGTCCTTCCCTCCACATCTTCTCTCCATTCGTCTCCTTGAAGTGCAAGGAGGATACGACTCCTGTGCAAAAGAGATGTTGGCAGATGCAGCTGGTCAAGCAAGGGAAAGGAGAACTAACTGAGAAGCTGCATGTGCTGAATTTCTCCTCTTCACAGCTTCATTAATGTTCAAGGAGCTTCATACTCCTTTACGTGGTCTCCTTCTCTCTCTCAAATTACTGCTTTAAATGGTTGCTGGCATGACACTGCTTTCATAAGTGTATGCCCCACCTGTGGGTCCTGGTGCCTTCAGCTGAAACTGGTGCTCTAGAGGAAAATCTCCTGTTATCTAAGCTAAGGTGTGCAACACTACAGATCGAAGCCCTAATTGGTTTGTTTGTTTTTTTAAAAAAGGAACAACCCTTGTTGGCTTTATTTGTAACACAGTTTCGATTCATTTACATAGCTTTGCATTGTCAGAAGAGATCAAGAAATGCGTTTCCATGCAAACGATTATTTATCCCACAATGCCTGTATCAAATGATTTCTTCAAAACTGGGTAAAAGGCAGCTATGAAACTGTTTAGAGATAAGGCCCGTTACAAAGGTAGGTTCTTTTGTTCACAGAAAGAGACATTTCCCCCTCTCTTCTCTGAGACATAAATTGAAATATGCTAGATTTTCACTACCTCCATGAAACAGCTTCATGAGTAGCATGGGTGTGTACAGAAAAAGAAATTCACCACAAACCTTGTTTGTAAGTTGCGTCTAGAGCTAGATAAATTACACAGTGCTTCAGTTAACTCATTCAAGTAAGTTAATTTAAAATAGCTCCTGATAAAACGCTTGGCCATGAGAAGAAAATGTACATCAAATACATGGATTAACATCATTAACAAACAATTTAAAAGATACTTGCAACATCTATTGATCTGAGCGATCATTTATATCAATTAAGGATGCCACATGCTGGATTATGAAGCTGCAAATGTCTACCATAAGTTGCCACCTACCATCGATCGTATGGAACAAACATTATTTTGCTTGCTCAAAGGACAGAGGAAGTTAGCAGCAGAATTTCCAGGTGAATTAAACACAAAAACTACCCTGCTGTGTACTTACAAAGTACTGTGTGGAATATAGACGTCATTAGCTGTGAGTTTGTTGTCTACTATGCAATTGGCAACACTTCTGTTTATCATTATAGCACAACAATGTGGCGTCCCTAGTCATCTTCAGTCAACAGAAATGCCATTTGTCTACTGACAATGTACAGACAATCCACAAGACAACTGTAATTAAATGCTACATGTAACTCTACACGATCCTGAAACAAAGCAAAGCAAAACGAACACCCCAGAAAAATTAATCTCAAAGATCTACTGGGAAAGCAGATGTTTTTAGTTGTCAAAATGAATTCTTTTAAAAACACATATACACACAAGAAAAGCAAGCAAAGATATTGCACAAAATCCATCTTTTGTTGTGATCTAGTACTTTCCCTCACATCCCGGAATCTCCCTTGCAGTGCAATTCAATACAGATCTACTCTGAAGTTAAGTACCATTGAGTTCAATGAGACTTATTTCCAGGTAGATGTGTATAGGATTGCAGCTGTTATCATGATATCTGGGATTGGTGAAGGGGAGAGAAGGTTCACCAAGAATCTCGGGTTTTTTCTTGTCCCTTTCCTCCTCAACCCACCCATATTAATACTGATCCTAGAATCTAAATTAAAAAGCTTATTAATATACATACAATATTATTTATGTCTGATGTTAGGGAAGCACTCAGAAGTGTACTGAATCCATCCAAACTAGTCTATAAACACCTTTTCATCAAAGAAGAGTTGCAGGCGGGGGGTGAGAGATGGGTCTGCTGTCCACAAACTCTTTTAGTGGGATTTACCTGATGCACCTTATCAGAGGAAGCCCTGTGAAAGGATGCCCATCTGCACAAGAGGGCTCCCCCAAAATTGGCGGGGCAAAGGGGCCAGGAGAACCCCCAGTACAGTGCATCCGAGGAGAGAGGCGATTGCTGCGTGTGAAAAGCTGGTGGGACATAATGCAACAATGAGTTCCTTTTTTTTAATGCTTAGCACTCAAGACGACTTCATAATGGAGGATTCCTTGTTTGGCTCCCTCATATCAAGGCAGCCTTTGGGGGCCACCGAGAATAGCAAGGAGGAGAAAGGCAGATCTGACTAAAGGGGCCCCAAGACACAAGTCTCCCTACACAAACACAACTGAAACACATGGGATCTACATAACAGCACACCGCACAACTCTACTCTGACCCATTTTAATGTGAGAGACACCATTTGGATTTTCCACCACAGGTGGCAAACATCTTACACTCGTCTAAGATCCAATGCATCTCATAAGTCATAACGTCTGGAATGGCACACAGAGTATCGTGGTGTCCTTGAAGTGGAAAAAGAACCAGTCCTAACTGCCTGGAAGCTATAAAGCAGCCCCTAGGCAAGTTAAACTAAAAGGAAACAGGGTCCCTAAGCACCCTTTTCCTGCCTCGGATCTGGAAATATATATATATAAATAAATCTAGGGTGGTTTGCTGCCTTCTGTAAGATTAAGGAGTTTGGTTTATGAGTGATGTCAATGGTCTTCAGAGCTAAAATCAGCAGAGCTTGCAGTCATCCTGTGACTAGGCATGTGGGAGAATACAAATGGAAATGGCCATTTTTGTTGATTTTCCCCATGTCCAGAATAGAAATCAATCCAGTGAATTTAAGTATTCACTGTTGATGTTGCTCTCAATCCACAAACAGTACATAATTATGTTCCACCCCCACCTCCCTTTTCTATTACGTTTCTTTTGCATTGAAATGAATGGGATGGAATAATGCTACAACAACTTAATTTATGTAATTATGTAAATTATGTAATTTCACTGCAGCAGACAGCAAAATGAATAACATGGTTTTGGGTGAAGATGAATTGCAGCAGAATGGAAACAGTTTTGCATGTGAATATACTGCGGAATATAAAATAATGCCTTCTTACATCTCTACCTGTGATCTTTCTTTTAAGAAGTTAAAAGATGTAGGCGTCAAAGGCAGCTGATATCCTATGCAGGAATTTAATCTTTCCCCTCTGGCCACACAGATTAGGGAGAGAGGTGACTTTCTCTTGTACCTATCCTCCTTGCATTACATTGAGAAGTAGATGGTATTGTTAGCAATAACTTCAGCTCCAGTCTTGCCCTATTATGAGCAAAAATATCTGAAGAAAAGCCTATGATAACAGAACTACTTTTCTAGTTTTGTAGCTTAACAGGATCCTGAATTATCTCTGGTCAGATGAACAAAAGTTTCAGCAGATGATTATGAAAATGAAAGGCTTCAATTTGGTAACTAGCTAGTTACTATTTTTCATTTTCTGCACAAAGCAAGCTATTTAAAATCCTCCTTTTGCAAGGACACAATGTAAAAGAGAAAAGAAAAAGAGATTTTCATTCTGCTTGAGATAATCTGTCTAATATAATTTGGGGCACAATCCACCATAAAGTTCTCTTGTGAAAGCCCCAAAGAATTCACATCAGTGGGACATCTGCAGGAGAATCTTCTGGTAGATTGTATTGTTTTATCTATTCTATAACAATGAAAATTAACATTTTCAAAGGTGCTCATCAGTGCAGGCTGCACATTCAATCAATTGGAAAACTACTGTTGACATCTTTGGGAGCAGAGTTAGCCAGTACTGACAGCTTTTGATAACCCAACTCTTAGCGATCAAAAAGCAGCAATATCACTCTTTGAAATGCTAGGGAACAGTACAAGTTTCAGTAAAAAGTGACTTCTTTCATTATTTCCAACAGCACACCATGCAAAATGTTGGGTCATTTCGGGGTTTTCATTTCTTTGCATAATGTTTACAATCTGTGACCAACATTCTAGCTCATTCTCAGTGCACAGAATTCCAGGTGAACACGTAAGGTCTCCTGTTAGTTTAAGAAACTTTCGTTTCCGAAACTTGGCAAAGACCTTTTCATGATCTTGAGCACTATTCAAGGGTTTGGAAAGGAGATGGCAGAACAGTTTATTATCCATTAGCTCCATCAGTTACTGTGACAGCCTTTTCCAATTTTGGAGTATAGCTAATGTCAAGGAAAGTCCTTGTTGGCTAGATCCCCTAATATGTAGATGCTGTCAGAACCTTACAAGTTTGGGGATTTAAAACAAAGGGCTTAATGACCCCAAACATCTGAGGAACACCATGGCAAGCTCCAATAATATATTAAAATCTGGTGAATTTAATATACTAAAATAAAATGTGACAACCTTTGTTATTATCAGATAATGGAGGCATATAATTTGGATTGGACAAGAAAATTGGCTTCCAGGTGGAAAAATCAAAATTAGAAACAGAACTGTTAGAACCCAAAACTAAGATTCTGTCAAAGATGTATAACTTGCTGTTGAAATGGAATACTCAGGATGAAACGGTGAAATCTGCTATGATTAAATGGGCACAAGATGTTGGACATAACATTATGTTTGCTGACTGGGAACAGTTGTGGACCACAGGTATGAAATTTACGGCATGTAATGCCCTAAGAGAGAATATTATGAAAATGATATACAGGTGGTACATGACACCAGTCAAGCTTGCAAAAATCTATCATTTGCCCGATAATAAATGTTGGAAATGTAAGGAAAACGAAGGTACATTCTTTCACCTTTGGTGGACGTGCCCAAAGATCAAGGCTTTCTGGGAGATGATCTATAATGAACTGAAAAAGGTATTTAAATATACCTTTCTAAAGAAACCAGAGGCCTTCCTGTTGGGCATAGTCGGCCAATTGGTGCCAAAGAAGGATAGGACTTTCTTTATGTATGCCACAACAGCAGCAAGAATACTTATTGCAAAGTATTGGAAGACACAAGATCTACCCACCCTGGAAGAATGGCAGATGAAGATGATGGACTATATGGAACTGGCAGAAATGACTGGCAGAATCCGAGACCAGGGAGAAGAGTCGGTGGAAGAAGATTGGAAAAAGTTTAAAGACTATCTACAGAAATACTGTAAAATTAATGAATGTTAGAATGATGTTGGATAGAAACTAAGTGGTTTCCAGCTGTAATGTTATAAGGGAATATGAAAAAATAGACTATTAATAGGTAAAAATCTAATGTTACAATACTTTAAGATTGAAGATTAGGATAAACAAAGAGGGGAGGGATTTGCTGAACTAACAAACTGAATTGGAATACAGAAAAGGGAGGTGTGAGGAGGTCCGGGAAATAAGCAAATGAAAGATAAGTGATTGAAAAACTGAATTGTTTTTAACTATTTTTATTTTGTATTTTTCTTTTTTCTTTTTTTTATTTTTGTAATATATTGAAAATCTTAATAAATATCTTTGAAAAAAATAAAATAAAATGTGACAACCTTTGTTTGCAACTAAAAAAGGCTAGCGCACTGTTAGTACTGAATTGTCTTAAATAACTAGGTTAACTTTCAATGAAATTTTGTAGGTGGAGAAAGGAATCTAATGGTCCAAAGCAGTTTTACTTAATTGGGATTCCTGAGAAACTTTAAGGGGTACCTGAAGTCTGTGAGCACTATATTAAAATCTGTGATTTCATAAGTTCCTATGAACATTGAATATGCTGGGGAAAATGTGACAACGAAGCAGAACTTGAACCATTTGTTTTCCTATGACACTATAGTAAACATCGAAATGCTACAGATGCGAGTGATTTGAGAATTTTACATCATAATCAGTGGAGAACAGAGTAGACACTGACTAAATATTTGATAAATTGATTCATTTGGCAAGTCTAATGTTCTTTTGACAGTAAGAAAGCTAACTGGCAACTATTCAGGGCAAAAATGTAAGGCACAACTATTAGCCTTCTAAAAATCTTATCCGTGATAAACGATGCGTGAATGCTAACAGTTCTAGCAAATCTACATACATTGCAGTTTAAGTGGGGTCAAAAAGAAGTAGCATTTCAAAGGTTCATCAACAAGACTACACATTACTCATGTTACTGTAAGAATTACATAAAACGGTATTTGACATTAGCGTGGCAACTCTAAACACATTCACTGACAATGTGAGTCACTGAAAACCTGCATGTTTTGCCAGACATTTCTTAGTTTTCTCTCCTCCAGCCTCCCACCCCCTATGATTCAGAAACCATCCATGCAGGATTTTGTCACTCTCGTTTACTGAAAGAAACCCGTTATGGCTGTAGTAGGAAGTTTCCATATGCATAGAGTTTTTCTTTTCATGAAGGAAGAACTGGAAGCTCCTGTATGCACTGGGCTATGGAACATGCACCTTCATCCACACGTGTACACAGAGACATAAATATACCCTCACCTAATCACTACTCTCTTGACTCAAGCAATCTAGACCACCACCAGTGACAATTGAAAGGACAAACACAGACATCGGGACAGGGAAGGAGGGAACAGCACAAACACAGGGAAAACAGGTCCTTCTAACTAAGCAGATAGGTCCTGGAAAAAGGACACTGCCATGGGCTTCCACACTAAATTGTTACTCGTATAGTGCCTAAAAGTGTTCTACCCACTTTATAAATATGTGGAATACCACTTCCAAATGGTTTAACAAAACGTTCCATTCATTTGAAAGGCACCTTTGGACACTGATGTTACGCACCAAAGGTTTGCTTTTAAGAGAAGACTTTTCGGAAGACAACTTTTAAAAGTTGCCATTTGTGAGCATTGTGGTGCATCCCATAGCAGGCCAGTTTTGAGAAACTGGATTGCAGGGACGTTGTTTTGGATGCATCTTTTTATAGGTTATGATTAAGCTTCAGAAATTATGTGTGGCCCTTGATTCCTTTGCTTAGGCCTAGAAAGAGATTTCCAGATTTACACTGTTAAATTATTTTCTTTATATTATTATTTTTCAGCCGCTGATATCATTTTTGTTTTAAAAAAGAAAACATTAGAATTTGTTCAAGGAGCACATCGAACAATGATCCAAGTCCTAAACATCACTTTAAAACACTACCTCTGAAGGTTAAATTGGCATGAACCCCAGTAGGGCAGATCAATTGTAACACAGAAATATTAAAACAGTGGAAATTCTATGCCAATAAAAATCTACCTGTTCCGCTCAAGCTTTTTCCTTTTGAGAAAACTGAAGATGCAAAAATAATGACAGTGAGTAACACCTTTTAAAAGTTGTAAACTTCACATTGTATTTCAGCACTTCAAAAAAGATTAAAAACACACAGTACCATTTTTTCAGAATTTGGAAGACAGAGCCACAGTGCCTACTTGGTAAAGGACCCAATTTGGGGGTAAATTCAGACAAACCATTAACAGTTAATTCATATGGTGATAAATACATCAAGAGACCTTTCCTCTCACTGATGGCTATTGCTTGGCTAGGTGAAAACAGTTCTCACCAAGGAAGACAAACATGTGGGAGAGGCTCCCATTTGAACCAGGCTCTTGTGTGGTAACTACATTGCTACAAAACACACGGTCACATGAGTGACCACTGTTGGTCGTATGAGTTCCTGTGGTTTGGAAACGACCCATATTTCCCTTTGTTCATGCGCTTCACTGCTGTGAAATCATGGCATCTCTTTTCCAACAATTTGCATTTCATCCTGTACAATATTTAAGCGAGTCCCTAAAACGTTAAGGCAACTGGATCATGGATTGACAGGACTTAATGAGTTCCAGACGAACAATGTTGCATTTGTTCACTTTGTGCTCGGCAAGATAAAAGTCAATGCCTACCTGGGAAGATACGTTCCTTTCTGGAAAGGGAAAGGGGGAAATGGTAAAAACTAGCAGGTGCCAAATACCAGCTGAAGCTTAAATATGGAGCCAAACTATTAGCTTGACTTGAGAATGCAGTAGCTGAACGAGAAGCTGCCCTATACTGAGTCAAACTATAGGTCCATCTAGCTCAGTGTTATCTACACCAAGATGGGGGCCCCTAAATACTTCCAAGGATCACCACATTCCCTTGTGGGTGATCTATAGGGGAGGGTGCATTTTGGCAGTGGGCAAAGCACCCTTCTCTTCTTTCCGGGCTCACTCACCCACATGAAATGTGCCCAAACGTCACAGGCTTCCCACCTGTGGTCCAGACCAATGGAAAACAGCTTCCTGGGGTTTCAGACATTTCTTAGACCTACCTGGAGATGTCAGGGGCTGAAGATGGGCCGCTCGGGATGCAGAGCATATTCTCTGACACCGAGCTATGGCCCCACCCACCCCAATCCAGGCCCACGCTGTGAAATTATGCAGCAAAGAAATGTGTTCCGAAGATACGTTCAAAGCAAGAGGGAGAAAATGGGCATGTAAGGCAAACCACAATGAAGGTTAGCAAAACGGAAGGTTTGTCATTTCCTCTGTGATGTTTTGGTTTGCTATGCGATATGGAATCCTGAGTTGTCTTCCTTAAGTCTTTTGTTAGGAGCGTTATTTCTCCCCTCAAAAAAATAAAAATAAAAAAATTACGCTTTATTCCCGCTGCTACTGGAAAACCTGTCCCCTGAAATGTTTAAACCATGGTTGAATGCAGAAGTCATTTTACACAAAGACACCACTTCGTGAAGAAGACCACCCTCTTCCAGGATTTCGTTTCCTGTTCTGGCTTCTCTCTCCCAAGGAACCTGAGAGGATGGATTTTGGCTCAAGTTTGGTGGTATCTCGTCTGCTGAGGTACTGCTTAGTGTTTCGCTCCACTTAGTCTTTTTTACTTGAAAGACTCCTGGAGAACACAACTGCATAGTTTCTTGAGATGGGCTTGGAGATTCTGCATGAGTTTTGAAGAAGTTCACATCATCGGCACTAGGGATATGGGCGGGACTTCCTGTTTTTGGCACAAAGAGATTTTCTCTGTATCCAGTCGAAGGAACACGTTTCCTTGGAGACGGGGGAAGTTGCTTCCCAGTGAGGATGCTGTCATCTTGCCCAAGATTCCAGTCAGCTGGGTCAGACGTTCGACCACTGCAAAGCAGAGCCAGATTGCTCTCACTTGGCGTGTTGGATTTATTCTGAAATAAGAAGAACAGGCAACACATGAGGATTCTTGGCACTAGGGTCTCCGAAACAGCCACTTTGTTTTTACAGAAAAGTGGGGTGTAAATATTAAACTAATCCTTTTTTTAAAAAAATGACTGAACGACTTGTTGTTCATTGTACTGATGATAATAATAATAATAATAATAATAATAATAATAATAAATTTTATTTATGTCCCGCCCTCCCCAGCCGAAGCCGGGCTCAGGGCGGCTAACAACACTAAAATAGTGCAACATTATAAAAACATTATAAAAATTAATTAAAGTCAAAATTGATAGCAACCATAGACTAAAGTTTTGTAAAGATTGTAATGATGTGCTAAACTGAATCACAATTTATTTTTTTGCTAACGACCTCTTAATAGGATTCAAATTTTAATTCCTCTTCTCTTTCCAACATTAAGCAGCTAAACTGAAACCAAGATAATTCCATTTCAAGGTAAAAAGAAGTGTTCTCAATGTGTTGTGCAGCCAAAGCACACTTTCTCTGCTTTAGATTTCAGGGTACACATCACTTTTACACCACAGTCAGACATTGAGGAGCAATACCTGGTTATCACAGAAGCATGAGGATGTATGAGAGACCCTAAAACACTCTGTCATCCAAGCAGCACCTATCACCAACAGAAGATTATGTGGATGCAAAGAAGTTTTAACACTGGAAACGCAAGTGGTGGGATAACTAACCGTTGCCTTGTAATCAATATCATCCATTGATCGAAAGAAGTCCAGGCTTTTTGCTCCTGAGAGCTTCCCTTGATCCGAACTGTGTGTACTCAGACTATCCAAAATCTCTCCTAGCAAGTCCATTTCTCCAGGAGGAAGAGATGTTTTGGCCACTTCCCCAGAGTCATCACTGTCATACAAACAACAAGATGTTTCCTCACTATCTTCAGATGACAATCTAAAGGAAAACAGAAAACCACTTCATAGCTATGACCGCAACAATGAATCTGAAAATGAATGAGCTTTTTACAGGAGAATTATTATAAAGATAAATTTCAATAAAATAAGTGACTTCTGAACCCTTTGTATTCATCATAAGAAACCAAAAAGGATTCAG